TCAGTAGTCAACAGAGTATGTTCTTCATTATGCTTGGACAATTAATTTTATCAACCAGGATAATGGGAAGTTATAACAACAAATATGTTTTCAATATTTTCATGCTAATATCACAAATAGGCTGTGGATCTCGCCCATGTACCCAAACCTAGGCTAATGAAGCACCCCTCATTGGAACATTGCTGGTCTCATGACAGAGAGAAAAAGAAACACAGTGGAGAACACTCAATGATTCTTAAAGCTTCTACTCAAATACTGTATAGCCCTCATATTTCACTGCACACTTTGAAACATGTGTCCTAGCATGACATCAATGGAGCAGGGATAATCCACCCACAAGGAAGAGCAGCAAATATGTTAACACATCAACCACATTTTAGCACTCTTTCTTAGATATTCAACTATTTTCACTTGTGTTACTCAGTTTTTGCTGTTGTCTGTTGAGGTTTGTTTACTTTATGTTCAGTGACTGTTCTATTGCCATCACACTTGTTGGTTTATGTATTTTGAAATGTGTTGTATAAAAAGAAATACCCAGTTTTATTTAGAATGTATTTCACAAAATATATCACTCTAAAACCTATATTTTGAAAAAGTCACCTGATTATTTTGAAGATAATAATCCTAATTCAGAAATGCATTTTCGATATATGTTAGACACTTTTATTTATTGACAAACCATGGCAACACCCTATTCAAAACATTTCAGAAATTAGAAGGTAATTTTTTAGAAATAAGGTCAATGAATATTATTTATTGGAAAATGAAGCAAATTAAAAGTATATTTATTTCATATAGCTATCAGAAGTTCATACTTGCACTTGCTATTTCAAGACTCCGTAATTTAAAAATTACAGAGTTCCAGTAATCAATAATATATCACATTACCATTTAAATTATTTTGATGAAAGAGAAGATACAACATAAAGACTTCTATAAATGCAGCAATCAGTATATACTGTTTCTTATTAAATCAGAATTAGATATTTCAGAATATTAGAACATAAATTCTAGAAAATAATGTAATTTTACATCAATAATATATTTATTCCTCTCCCCAAAAGTAGCTTTTTTTTTTTACAGTGTCGTGCAAATAGATCGTTTACTACATAAAGAAATTTCTTTGTAAGGTCTTACTGTGTGTTCATTTTACTTAAGACACAGACGCCCCCTTGTGGTGAAATCTGGACATTTGCCTTGATTATTTCTAAAGAACGGTTTGGGTTTCTCTGTCACAGGCAGGGCCTTTCAGGCGAAGCAGGTCTTGGGTCACTTCCAGTTTTGATGCTCTCAGCATATGTACAAATGTCCCCAAATAAGTCTTAAAAGAATATATTTTATTACCGTGCATTTAAATTTTTTAGCACACAAATACAATGGAGTATTTTATTCATTAGAATGAAATGATGAAAATATTAATTCACGGTATGTAGATATGTGTACAGTGAACTGCAGTTTATCTTTGATTATGGCAGGCTCTTCTCATTTCCTAAATCTAAATTCCTTTTCCAATGAGAGGCTGGGGGGAGTGTTTCTCCTCAACAGCTCCAACCCCTGCCTCAGGCACACACCCCACCCTGCTTGCTTTGTCTCAGGATCTTTCTAAAACAAAAATGTTTGTATTCAGCAGAGCACAGAACTGTCTCTGTCACATTTTCTTCTGTTACTCTAGGTCCAGAGCTAACCATAAAAAATAAAAATAAAAACTGAGAGGGTGCTCTGGACAGGAAGTAGAACACAGTAGGCAATTTCTTTTCATTCCTTGGATGTAAACATGACTCGAGGCCTTCACTGACCATACAGACTCCTTGGATCCATAGCCAAAGATTTCGATTTAGAAGGTTCTGTTTTGGTCCTGCCATACCACCCGTTTCGTACTTCTTTTGGTCCATTTGACTAGAAAAAATTATTCTTAAGCCTGGCTGCATTTGAAGAACTTTATGATTCTTAATCCCAAAGCCCACTCCAGATTAATTCAATCAGAATTTCCCAGAAAGTATCCAGGAATCTCCTGGGGATTCTAATAGGCAGCTAATCAGAGAAGTGTTGGGTTGAACATGGGAGGGTCATCTAGGTGGCTCGATCATGGAGAGACCATGAGGCACATGCTGGAAATTCAGCAAAGATGAGTTTACTGACTCACTGCCATGGGAGAAAAGGAGCACCTGAGGAATGGTGGGTGTCTCACTGAACAAAGGCAAAGTCAGAGGTATTTTAGTGCATGGGGTTAAGGTGGGGCTGAATGTTTCAAGGGGATCAAAGCAAACTGTGGAGAAAGGGTTCATATCAAGTCTGCCCTGCAAAGTGGATCTGGAGTCTGATTTCCTAGGAAGCAATCTCGTCCAAATTATTGTGCAGTGTTGTATCCAGAAACCCTGTATCTGAGGTCCGGTACCTGGCGTGTAAATTGAGAATGCTTTTCTATGTCAAAGTGATTTCCATCTTCCAGGCCGGAAAGGGACATTTCTTTCTTTCTGATATGATTTCAAACAGCAAAGTTTCTGATAGTCCATGACTTTGGTGGAGAGGGTTTCTCAGTATGTCTAAAAGCAGTGGCCACTCAAAGAAGTGGCACTTCAGAGCTGCACTGTGTTCTTGGGGAAACACTCATTCCTCTTAACTTTCCGGGGGCTTTGTCTGTTATTCCAGCCTGATTCATGGCAAGACAAATTTTTATAATCTGAACTAATTTTCTGTCTTTTCAAACACAGGTTCAGAAAAAAGCAAAAGCAAGGCCCCAGGGTTGCTTCTAGAAGAAAGATGAAGCCACATCTGAGGGTCCAGATATCACGTTAGTGCACAGATATTGCACTGATCCCAAGGTGCTGGAAGAGAACAAACATGTAAGGGGTTGGGGAAGCAACCAAGAGGTAGAAAGATGGAAATAGAGAGAAAAAGAATTTTGAAAATAAACATTTGGTTTCTGACCCAGAAGTTTTCTCACCTCTACTATAAGGATAACAAACAGCGAGCACCATTGAGAGTTCTACATTAACCAGAAAACCTCAAAGAGCACGAGTACCATGATGGCCTTTGTGCGTATGCACTTAAGAGACTACTTATTTCCAGAAAATAAGAACCATAGTAGATAAACAAATCATTTTATATGCTAGGAAATAAGTGTGGGGGTGGCTGGCATTGAAAGAGACAGAGGCGAAGGGTTAAGTGATGCGGCGCCTGTCCAAATGTGCAGAGAACACAGGGGAATTCTGAAAAGATGTGATCACAAAAGCCACGCTTGGCTAAACTACAGGGGAACTCCCAGTCTGCGTCAGTGTGATTTTGACCTCACTCAGCATTTCCCTCAGCAGCTGCATGATTGCCCTTCTCATTTCAAAGTGCTTGACTTTGTACCTGAGATCAACTTTTCTTTCTATGCCTCAGCTCTGGCCCCCTTGCTGAGAACCTTTCTGGCCAAGTCGTCAGACAATTTCCAACACAGATTGCAAATGCTGGTGCAGTGGGACAATTTAAGCTGGGCTCTAGGACTTGTAATGGTCTAAATTTCCCTTAGTTTCTCTTGCCTGCGCTCTCTCTCTCCCTCAAGTCCTACTTCCAGGGAAAAGTTGAATAGTGGTTCTTGACACCCTCCCTTTGCCTCCCACTCTCATGAGCAGAACTGTGTGGAAGGAATTTTACTTGTCACGTAGCTGAGGAGCGTTTGGTGGGCAGAGGTCAGAAACGCCGAATAGCCTAAAATTCAGGAGGCAGCCAAAAACGTCCCACTGAGAAACATGGAGTCTCAACAAAAGAACTTTCCCCACAAAATTTAGCTGTCTTGAAAACTGGATTATGATATCCTATGAAGCTTGCTTATGTTACTTGTTAAGATATTTCTACCTTAAAGTATTTCAGATAATTCAGTCTGATATTACGTATGTGTTCATTTAAACTACATTTTATAGATTAGCTGCTCTGATCAAGAATTTACACTCCAGATATAATAAGAATTTAATTAAGAAGACTGTTTTAATACCATAGGTCTTGTTAAAGTAATAAATGTTACGACTATTTTACTTATGAAATTGAATGTTTAATAATTAACAAAGTCATGATGGTAAAGAGTTTTAGCGAAATTGGTGTGATTTGAGATACAAAGATTCCCTTTTAAGTTTTACCTTAAAAGGGAAGACAGAAATACAGGGGAACCACAAAGAATATTACGGTTATGCTGGGCAAGAAAGCTAGTACTATCTCTAGACCTGAAGACACAAAAGGAATGCTAGCTCTTGCTTACCCCCTGGCTGGCATACAATAGGCACCTCAGCAATCATGTCCAAGACTTAATTATTAAATGATCCTGAATATGCCACAATGTGTAACTAATGATGGCAATCTATTATACAACTTGTAGGTAGCACCTGGAAGAAATGAAACTGTTCACAAAAAGGCATAGAAAGAACATTCATAATAGCATGGTGTATGATAGCCTCAAAATGGAATCCACTCAAATCAAATGCCCAACTGCAGTGTAATAGATATGTAATTTTCAGTATATGCAGATAATGAAATATTATACAATAACAAGAATGAGTACCACAATGTCACATGACAGTAGAGGTGAACTTCAACAGAACAAAGTTGAATAAAAAGGTGAGACTACCCAGGTATGATGGTACACACCTGTAATCCTAGCACTCTAAGAGACTAAAGCAAGAGGACAACAAGTTAAAACCCAGCCAGAGAAACTTAGCAACTTTGCAAGGCCCTGTCTCAAAATAAAAAATAAAGAAAGCGATGGGGATATGGCTCAGTGAGAAGGCCCTGTGTTCAATTCCCTGTACTACCAAAAAAAAAAAAAAAGAAAAAAGAAAAAAAAAAAAACTATAATACTAGATAATATCTAATTTTCTAAGAGCATAAGAAAGAAATGCAGAGATATAGAG